CACACCCACAAGTCACCACTCCAGCCACCCCCATGCAACTCCCCACCTCCGTTCCCCCCCCACTCGACACCCCCTCCTTACAACACGCCCCTCGCCTCCCCCCTCCCCGCCCCTCCCCTTCCGTCACCTTGAACACGTCCCACTCAAGCACCCAGTGGGGGGCGCCCGCGGCCCGCGGCCCCCTAGCGCCCTCGGCGCCACCGCGGCCCGCCGCCCCGCGCGGCGCCGACCCCTGACAGCTGCCGAGGCGGCGGCCGCGCGGCACTGGCGCTGCCCCCGCGGCCCACTTTGACCACGACCGTCGTGAGTGGCTCCATGGTGAACGGCATCGTGAGTGGCCTGACCGTGAATGGGCGCCACACCGCACAGAGGGCGGGCCCACGCCAGCACACATGCCAACGCCTGGTCCCACACCGACGCCAGCACCAGCACAGACCAGAGCACCCAGACCCAAACCCAGTATAGAGTCGTCGAGGTCGGTGCCTGCACCAGTCCCTCCACGCAGCGGCAAGACAACGAGCAGCACAACACCACCACGACTGCGGCCAGCAGCACCACGACCGCGACCGCGATCAGCAGCAGCAGCAGCAGCTCCACCACCACCATCACCACCAGAAAGAGCACCACGAGCACCACACTTCGCTGGGAGTCGCCCATCCCACCACCGGCTCCCTCCACAAGGACCGCCGAGGAGAGGCCGCGCGCGCCGCTGCGGTGCGCCGCCGCCTTGACATCGCAGACGAGCAGGCCGCCGACGCCAGAGCCCGCCGACTCCTTCAGCGACCACCAGGCCTAGGAGGGGGAGGAGGAGCAGGACCTGGAGGCGGCCCTGGACGCAGCGGAGTTGATGGCATGGAGGGGGCCCTGGACCTGGCGTAGGCGGCGGAGGCTGGGGAACCTGTGGGGGCGATCGTGACGACGGCGGAGGCGGGGATCCCTGGTGGAATGGTGGTTGCGGTGGCGGGGGTGGCGGTCCCGGGGGGGTCCCTGGTCAGATACGACAACCCCCTCGGGGGGTCCCGGGGCCCAAGAAAGCTCCAAGACGGGCCCAGTGCCACAAGGGGCCCCCAAGATGATCCAAGAGGGCACCGAATCACCAAACGATCTGTCCAAGACGCCTTGATGGCCTCCAGACGCCCAAGAGACCTGCAAGACGCCCCAAGAGGCCTCCAGCAGCACTCCGAAGAGGACCCCAAAAGAAAAATGTAGTAATTTCCGATTTGTTTTTGAAGCATTTCGGCGTTCTCGCCTCTTCCGCTTCCCGACGCTCCAAGACGGCCCAAGAGGCCCCCCGGATCGCCACACGACGGCCCAAAAGGGCTCCAGGAGGGACCCAAAACGGCCCAAGAGGGCCCCAAGACGGCCCAAGACGCCTCTAAGACGGTCCAAGACGGCTCCAAGAAGGTGCCCAGACGAGGGACCAGAACGGACATTTCGAGCCCTCGGCCCCGAGAGGCTCCCAGAAGGAACCAAGAGGCCCCCAAGAGGCCCCCAAGAGGCCCCAAGAGGCCACCAAGAAGCCCCCAGGAACTAGGAAGCCCCGAGAGGCCCTCAAGAGACTCCCAAGAGGCCCCTAAGAGGCTGCCAAGAGGCCCCTTGACTGGGCAAATTTGGCCTTAAGACGGCCCAAGATGCCTTCAAGACCGCAAACGAGGCCTTCGAGGCGTCCCAAGAAAGCCCCAGGAGCCTTCCCAACAGGGCCTCGAGGCAAAAATCAATGATGTTCCTCAGGTGTTTCAATGTGTTTCGGGTTCTCACCGTTTCGAGCTTCCGACGTCCCAAGACGACCCACGAGGCCACCAGGACGGCCCCAAGACGGCCCAAGAGACCCCAAGAGGATCCCAAGACGGCCCAACAGGGCTCCAAGACGCCCAAGACGCCCCAAGAGGCGCCCAAGAATGCCCCAGAGGGCCACAAGACGGCTCCAAGAAGGGCCCAAGAGAGTGAACACGAACCGACAATTCGAGCCTTCCGTCCCAAGCAGGCTGAGGAGGCCCCAATAGGGCCAAAAGAGGCCCCCAAGAGGAGTACAAGAGGGCCCCGAGAAGAGAAAACCATGTATTTACCCTAGCGTCTTCACTGTTGGCTGCGTTCTCGCCTTTTCGAGCTTCCGACGCTCCAAGGCGGCCCGAGAGGCCCCCAAGACTCCCCCAAGAAAGTTCAAGAGGCCCCCAAGGAATCTCCATGACGGCCCAAGAGGGCTCCAAGACGGCCCAAGAGGTACCCAAGACTGCCCACAGGGCCCCAAGACGGCCCCAAGAAGGACCCAAAAGTGGAACCACGAACCAAGAATCCCCCCTTCCCGTTTTGAGAAGTTGCCACCCAAAATGCTGTGCTGTCACGGAGGCGGAATTGCCAGAGGAATCTTGGTACAAGCCATGCGCAAGGGGACGAGGATAGGACGAGGAAAGGGAAGAGGATGGCTCAAGAGCACGAGGAGGGGGACGAAGAGCAGGAGATGAGGATTTGCCGCCACCGCTTCTGGGCTGTCGGAGCTTGTCCAGGGCGCGGCGAAACTGGGAACCCTCGCCTCTCGTCGCAATACAGGACATGAATTCGTCTTCACGTGCGTGAGCTGTTGCGCGAAAAAAACCGAATATCAGAAGAGCCCTCCTCGTCCTCCTCGCTGTATTCCTCCTTGTCCTCCTCGGGGAGAGGAGGGGGAGGAGAAGAAAGAAAGGAAGCAGGCCGTGCCCGTTGCCGATCACATCGGCCTCGCGTTCGGGGCTGTCCCTGTCTGGGCATATCCGCCTCCTGGGGAAAGTGTGGAATGATGAACGCCTCACTCCGCCACACGCTTATGCATTCCTTGGCACCGCTTGCACTCTCGTAGATGCCAGGGTCGATGCCGTCGTAATGTCGCTAGTCTCATCAGATCCGCAAGAACTCTGCAGCGTCTACGCCCCTGATGGCTGGC